GGATTGAGAGTCAACAGTATCTCATGCCATGGAAAGGTCAAGGAAGATGAGGACTGAAAAGAGAATATATGGGCTGTCAATTAGGAGGTCATTAGTGACTTTTGAGAGAGCAGTTTCAGTAAAGTGGTGGGGACTGAAATCAGATCGCAAGGGAGAGTAGAGTGGTAAGGAAGTGGAGGCAGCAGATATAGACAACATTTTCAGGGTTTTCAGTGAAGGGCACAAGGAAGATGCAATGGTAGCTGGATGGGGTAACAAGGTCAATGATCAAAGAAAAGTTTTTCTAGTATTATAAACTTTCAAGTAAAACCTACATATTGCTGCCAGATTGTTTTAATTATATTGTCTCATCCTGCTCAAAACCCTTTAATAACTCATTGGTGACCAAATAGAATCCTTATTCCTAGCTGGCATGTAAATTTACATACCCCAACCTATCAAAAGCTTTTCTTGCTGTTTCTCAAATATGTCCTTATATTTTCCACCCCAGTGACTGCTCTCTTGTTTTTGCCCCTGAACTCCAACTCTGCCCTGCCAAAGGCAGACAAAACGGGAGCACCGCCCTGCCTTTGCTCAAGACATTCTTTCCACTTAGGCTGCCCTCTCCATTTCCATCTCCATATGACGACATTCAGCCCAACTCAGAGGCAAACTCTTCCATGAAGCCTTCCCTGGTTACACTAACCAGAAGTAATCTTTCTTTTCTCTTAACTCTCATAGCACTTTGTACTTCTCTTAAGACACTTGTTACCTTCTACCTTGTAATGTAATTACTTATGTAAATGTAAATTCAGGGCATGAACCTTGACTTATTGATATCTTCTAACCCCCAAGCTTGAATAGAATTTAGTAGATCCTTCATAAATATCTGTTGAATAAATGAATGAAATCTACCCAATGGAAGATGTCCAAGTGGAAGTATTTTTGGGAATAGGAAAGCGAGCTAGTTGGAGTACAGAAGGAAATGAACTGTTAAACTGCTAATAAAAAATTCAGGCTGTCTCTGAAACATTTTACTATAGCAGCGGCATTCTTTGGGAGGAGTTGACTACTGTTGTCCTGAAAAAGAAGATTCGAAAGAGAGATGACGGAGTGAACTCCTTGCCTCATCTTGAGGTTCTTGCAATATTCAATATCTTTAATATGCATCTGGCCTGGGACCTGGGAACAAACTCAAATATGCCAACACTATTCTTAATTCTCAGAACTTAAAACCATTCATTCATTCATTTATTCATTCGACCCTGTTATCCTAACTTCAGATCTAGTGCTCTTCATGCCACACACTTTATGCTGGAAAGGTAAAACCTAAACAAAATGGATGTTACAAATAAGAATGTGATAAATGCACAAAAAAGTTACAACATACTGTGCTTGTGGAATAAAATTAACAGATGGGAGTGTGTGTTTATGTACGTGTGTGTGCATGTGTGCATAAGAGATTCAATGTGGTTATTGTGTGCAAACCAGTTTTAGGTGCTAGGTGATATACAAATAAGACATGACTCAACCTCTTGAAGCTTTTGGTCTAATAAGAGGGAAAGACACATGCACATGTGAAGTCCAAGGAGGAAGGAGAAGTTAAAGGAAGGCTTCATGGAGGACATGGCATTTGATTTAGGAATTCAACAGGCAAGGTGCAGAGGTGGGGTGAGGAGATGGGAAAGGTAGATATCACAGGTATAGGGAACAATATGAACAAAGATACAGAGGTGGAAAACCATAAGAAATATTTAGCGGGTTGAAAAATAGTTCAGTTAGGCTTGAACATTGAACTATGGGAAGAAGTAATAGGACATAAGACTCGAAAAATAGGTTGGTGACAGAATGTGGTAGAGAATAGGAAACCACTGAAAATTTCTGAATAGAGTGGTGTATTTAGGTCTATGCATAATTAATAATAATAAGTATAACAGGGGGCAGCTAGGTGGTGTGGTGGATAGAGCTCTGGCCTTGGAGTCAGGAGGACTTGAGTTCAAATCTGGCCTCACACACTTGACACTCACTAGCTGTATGACCATGGGCAAGTCACTTAACCTCGACTGCCTCACCAAAAAGCAAAAAAAAAAAAAAAAATTAGTATAACTAACATTTATGTGGTGTTTTAAAGTTTACACATCTTATTTAATCTTCACAACCCAGAAAGACACAGTATTTTATTCTTTTTTACTTATTTTATTATGAATTTTAAGTTTTTAATTTTAAAGATGAGGAAACTGAGTCAGAGAAGTTAAAAGATTACTTATCTGAAGTCACATAGCTAGTGTCAGAGTTGAAGAGCAAAGCTGGATCTACTCCATGATGCTTCCAATTCTGAACAAATCAATAAGAATAAGAAAAGTTAGTCTGGCAGCTACATTAGGGATAGATTCAAATAGAGGAAGACCTGTTCACAGTCCATGGCACTAGTCTAAGAGCTTGGTAGTAAGGGCCTAAAGGAGGACAATGGGAATAGAGAAGGGAATTGATTAGAGAGATGTTGCAAAGCTGAAATGAACACGATTGGTTAGGAGACCAAAAGGAGAGAGAAGTCAAGGTTTCTCCCATGGGAGGCAAAATGAATGGTGATGCCACTGACAGAGAGAGGGAAGTCAGAAGAACTAAGTCTGAGTTGAACAAAATTGAGCTTTTGAGATCATTACATCATCTTCATTAGAATGCTTGATTACATGCACCCTATAACAATAATACAAAGAGACTGTCAGTCAAGGGAAAATTGTTTTTGTAGAGTCATTTCAGTCATATTTGATTCTTTGTGACCCCATTTTGAGATTTTCTTGGCAAAGATACTGGAGTAGTTTGTCATTTCCTTCACCAGTTCATTTTACACATGAGGAAACTGAGGCAAACAGGGTGAAGTGACTTACTTGCTCAGGGTCACAGACTAAATTTGAACTCATGAAGGTGGGTCTTCCTGACTCCAAGTGCAGTGCTCACAGGAAAGGCTGGGATGTAACCATGATTTTTTTTTTTGCCTTGTACTATGAAGACAAGCAGCCCAAGTGTAACCTGGCACAAAGAGAAGGACTGCTGAATCCACTATGATTGAGTTGCCTTCCAAAAGACATTGGAATCAATCAATCAGCAAGCATTTATGGGTCCCAGTAATGCAGAGTGGCAAGAAGATTCCACTGTCCAACTGGCTTTGAACTACTGAAACCCTGTGCAACTAGACGTCCTCATTCCTACAAAGGCAGCCTAATGAAACTCAGCAAGGAGGGGCAATCAAGCAATCAATTCATAAGCATTTAGAAGGTTTCCTATGTGCCTACTTGGCACTGTGCTATGATGCTGGGGATAAAAAGACAAAAGCAAAAACTCTCAAGGAGCTTCCTGGATCTTCTTTCGTTTTGATTCAAAGGCCAGCCCAGTCAACATTTATTAAACACTTACTATATACAGGGCATAGTGCTAAGATGCCAGGAAAACAGGGTCTCTATCCTCAATGAGCTTATAATAGGGAAGGCTACATGCAAATAACTACAAACATTTACATATATACATAAATATACATATGTGTGCATATACACATGTTTATATGTATGGGAGAGGGCAGGAAAAGATTGTTGCAGAAAGTAGGATTTGCGTTGAGTCTTAAAGACGGCCAGGGAAGTCAGAAGGCAAAGATGAGGAAGTATAGGGGACATTTAGTGAAAAGGTATCGAGCAGGAGGAGACTCATGGAAGGAATAGGAAAAAGACCAAAGTAACCCAATCTTAGAGCCTGTGAAGGAGGGTCAAGTGTTAAAAGACTGGAACGGTAGAAAAGTCCAGGATGTGAAGGGGAAGGCAAGGAAACAAGCGTTTATTAAGCGCCTACTGTGTTCCAGGGACTGTGCTTTACAAAAATCATCTCATTTGTGAGGAACTTTAAAAGCTAAAATTCTATATTTGATCCTGAAGGTAAAAGGGATAGAGGCGGTGACTTCGGTCTTTGGACTTTGGTAAAAGGGCTGCATTTTGAGTTCCAGTTTTGGAAGCATTGTGATGTCTGCTGAAAGTAAAAAAAAAAAAAAAAAAGTATATATACATGTGTATATATATGTATGTATATATATGTATCCCACTAATGCCAGATCCCAAAATAAATCGTTGGGTAATACTAGGAATGGGGAATAAGCACCAATAGCCTCCCTGGTGAATGAAGTGTATGCCCTTGAGCAATGTTGAGGTTACATTGGGCTCTAATTATAGCCTCGGAGTGCTCTTTTGAAGGTTGTTTCACGTTCAGTGCATTGCACAAGTCCAGTCAGGAATCGGTTAAAGCATGGGGCAGTGGTGAAACCCTGTGTGCAGAGTTGTGGTGAAATAGATGCGGTAAAGGTCATACAAGTTTCTGTGCCAAAGAGATCTGTAGAAAGAAATAAGGAAGAAAGGAACGAAGGAAGAAAAAAAAGGAAGGAAGGAAGGAAGGAAGGAAGGAAGGAAGGAAGGAAGGGAGAGAGAGAAAGAGAGAAAGATCCTTTTGGCCACCACCACCTGAGAGTGGTTCTAAGGAGTGGGCGCGCAGCTCGTAGCCGCACCGAAGGCGCCCCATATGTGCTTGGGGGGCTCCAGGGGAACATTTGGTATGTGTATGACAGTAAAGACAGAAAAGGTCCTGTTCGGCGCAGTTCCCGGGGACGTGATGGGCTCATTTTGGGGTTGCTACTGCCAACAGTTCCAAGGCACCCTTCGCCTTTTCCCTTCCTCTGGATTATTAAGAAATATAACTTGGGGGCGGGGATTTGGGGGTAGGAGGGAGGCTGGGTTGGGGGAGGTCAAGTTTGAACGGACCGGACTGGCCGAGCAGGGCTGGGAGGGAGGAGGAGGCTACAGAGCGGTCAGCTCCCGATTCCTCCACCCCAGGACAGCTGCTAGTCCAGCCTCCTCCCGCCAGGGCCCCGGAGTGCGCGCGCGCGCGCGCGCCGTCAGACCGGGTGAGGGAAGTGGGGGTGGGGAATAGGGGGCGGGGTGGGGGAGGGCGCGGCACGCGCACCACGCAACAGCCTCCCAGGAGCGGCAGCAGCGGCAGCAGCAGCGTTAGCCGTGTGCGCTTTAAATAGGATCCAGCCTGGGGACTCGGCAGGCAGTAGCAAACTGTGCTTACTGCCGGCGGGGCGGGCTCGGCCTGCGGATAACGAGGTGAGTGAATGAGTGGATGAGAAAGGGGAAGAAGGGTCCGGTAGCCTGCCCCCCACCCCCATCCCAAGACTGTGTTCCCTCGCAGTTCCGTGGTACCCTCCACCCAAAGGAGCGGAGCACTGGGGGATTATGTGTGTGGCGGGGGAGGGGGTGGGGGAGCATCCGCAGCCTTGGTAGTCTAGTCTTCCCTCCCCTTCCCCTCCACCCCCTGATCTCTAGAGCAGAGAAGTAGCAGGGACATGCATGTGCCTTCGCTCAATTCTTGAGCATATCCCCCCTTCCCCACCTTCCCTGGCTCTCCAGCTGCTGCGAGGCCAGCCTAACCCCTGGCTCTGACCGCTGCTTCCTGTGCAGGAGGCTAGGGCCAGCCTGCCTGTATGCCTGCCTGCCTGCCTGCATACATACATGCATACATGCATGCATGCCTGCCTGCCTGCCTGCCTCGTTTCCTCTTCTCTCTCCTTCCTCCCTGTCCTCAGCCGGCGGGGCCGGGCCGCTCAGTGCAGTGCTGGGCAGGGCAATACAGTGTAGCGCCGGCTTCTGCAAGCATCCTGTGAGAGGCTCTCCAGGACAGGCAGCTCGGTGTTTGCGTAGATACTTATCCGGGTTACTCGCGTGTCAGAAGCCGGCCCCATGGTTGAGGCGGTGGGCACTGCTGGCACGGTCACTCACACCTTGGCCACCCAGCCGTCTCAACCTTTGCTATTATCAGGGTGGCATGACTGTAGTCTCCCCGTAAGCCCTCTTTCCCCAAACCAGAATTGTAGGATATACTGGAAGCGGGCGCTATGGGGAAGCTCTCAACTTAAAAAATAATAATACTTTATTAGGGTTAGGGTTATGTCCCGTTAGACAATAGGGCCCCTAGCCCTTTGAAGCACAGCTAGCCCGGGGCACTCTTGTTGTTGATATTCTAAAGAGTATTGAAAGAGGGCAAAATGCAGCATTTAACACCAGTTGCCTTATGTAGACGTTCTCCGGATCTCCAGAAGAGGTCCTGGCCCTAGCAAAATGCCCTGGTGGATGGAGTGGACACTGGAGATATTTTTTTGAAGTGTGCAAGCACAATAACCTTACCTGCGAGAGGAGAATTGGGAGGGTGATGGAAAACTTTTTTCATGTATACATGAGACTTTGGAGTCAGGACAATCTCAAGGGACTCAGTTTTGTGTCCTGTTAAAACTTGCTTAAAAAAATAAAACAACCATCACTTCTACCCAATTTTCATAATGTTAGAGTTGGAGAATGAGCTTTCGTATTAAATCAGCTGAGGCTGGCTAGATAGCTTCTACTTTCTTTTATCTGTTAGACCTTTTTGAAAATCTCCTGTGTGGCAGCCACATCACAAGACAGTCACCCAAAATGGCAAATACTGTCAATCACGGGATGCTTTTGCCCATGTAGTGATTGAATTTCTCTGAGCCAAAAAGAAATGAGCATAATCTCCCCCCCCCCCTTTTTTTACTCCAATTTAGAGAAGCGTCAGGATTATTCAAATGACAACATTAACTTGTGGGTTGTTTTAAAAAATTATTTGTGCTCAGGTTACTTTTGAACATGCTGGCTGCACAATTGTACTGGCGACATTCTCAATTTATTTAAAATTTAAGTTGACAGTTTGAACTGCAGGAAGATTAAAGTAAAATGTACTGCTTTCTCCTCAGTTTTTAGTCAGAGAAATTAAATTTTCCCCCTTGCTCCCTGAGTAAAGGGGAGACTTTGGAGCTTGGCTGATGTTTTAAGTTGTCATTCAGGTTTCAAGGCAAGTTCGAAAGGCACACATGACAACCTGATCCTGTTCACATCACATCGTACTACCCATGTCTTAGTGTTTGCTTCCAGGTGCAATTTAATAGCAAGCAAAAATGTCTGTTTGTTCTAAATGTGTACCATAGGGGTGAGGTGCTTGGCAAGGCACCGTTTTCTCTTGAGAATCTGTTTCTCCTTTGGTTTTGACAGCTGTGTGACAGCAAAGCCTATTCCTTGCCTTGTCATTTTAATAAAAAAACAAAACAAAAAACTAGTGGTAGTTCTTCCTGTCCCCCAAGTTTGCCAGAATGTTGTTGAACACTTTAAATGTGATGTATAAATGTGTTGATGCAATCTAAGTGGGACAGTGTTAGTAATTTATGGTAACTGTTTCATCAGAGTTGGAGAGAATTAGAAATTTGAAGATATATCTGTTGGATTTTCCTCCAAATGCTAACAGTTGGGAGCTGAGGGAAAGTGAATCTGTTTAGCAATGTCCAAACCTAGTTAATAACTTTTTTTTCTTCTGGAGTTGGTAATGTAGAATCAGTCCTTAGAATGTTGTCAGGTATGGAGCATTGCCTTCAAGCATATATAGCAGAAGCACTAGGGCTACCTGCTCATTTGCTTCTGAGACTTCTAAGACTTTAGTAAGAATTGTCAGCAAAATTCTTATGATTGGTATCCTGAGTCCTTTGGAAACCTTACTTTCAGAACTATGGCAGTCAATCATATGACAATGAGTATGTATGTGGTGACTTAAGAGCTAGTTACCTAAGGTCACCCCAGAGTGGAGGTGGTCAAAAAGATGCCACAGGGTCGTTTTTCATTGCTACATTGATTGACACTCAAGACTGGGAAGTAATCCAGACTGAAAGGGCTAGTGTATGTCCTGGGGTGGTGGTGAAAGGTGTGGAGTAAGGAAGGGTAGTTGGCTTTGAATGTAAACATTGCCCACCTGCGGCCAGAGTCCTTGCACACACACACACACACACACACACACACACACACACACACACCCCACTATTACTTTCCCTCTCAGATTACTTTCCATTTACTTAGTATGTATATTATCTAGATTTCTATATTCGCTCCCTAAGTAGCATGTGAGCTCCTTCATGGTGGGGACCAAGTGTTTTTGCCTTTCTTTATATCTCCAGCCCTTAACACAGTGCTTGACCTGACTGACTTTGGTGGTCTCCCACAGCGTCAGGGAAAGAAGGATCCATCTATCTATGTGTGTCTATGTATGTGTGTGTATAAAGATAGGTAATGACATGAAGAATATTTGACTAATTGTTCATGTTGTCACATTTAAAGTATGTAAGCTGAGAAAAAAAATGATGGCTGGCAGATTTATGAAGTAATGAATGTTCTTGTGTAATAATTTAATATTGTTAAGCATGTGTCAAGCTGCACTGTGATAGCAGGGAACAGGAAGGTGTCTGGAATCAGGAAGACCTGAGTTCAAATCCTCTTTCTGACACACACTAGCTATGTGACCATGGACCAGTCATTCTACCCCCCTCAATGCCCTCCAGCAACTTTCAAAGACCTTAAGATGAGTTGTCCATCTGCATCAATAGAGGGGGTGCCCCATCATTGATAAAATCATAGACTGCCCAGTCCTTTCCAAAGGAAAATATTATCTTTATAATATATAAAATTTAAAACTTCCACATCCAGCTGACCAGATTAATACATTTATTAATCCAAACCTTGATAATATATATTTCTTATATTCTAAAGTCTTACCATGTAATTCCAACAAAAATGATGTGCTGCATCAATGCCAACAATGCAATCCATGTTGAATAGTTTTTTGACTTTTTGAGTTTTGAGAAGCCCCAGACCTGTGTCAATTATTCTACATTGCTTCATATAAACTGAAAAATACAACGGAAAAGTTGGGTATTGTGAAATATTTATTCATAGAATAATAGTAGGAGAAGATTGTTTTGTATTTTTGCAGGTAGAGGAAGATTTCTGAATCAGTGTTCCTGCAATGTGACCAATCATTCTCAAGGAAACAAGTTATGAGGTGAAGAATATCTTATTGTTCCTGCCCAGATCAGAATAGTTTCCAGGAAATAGCATTTTACCTGTTAACTGTCTTGCTCTCCCTCCAACTCCCTTCCTTTCCTTCTTTGAAATTAGTATTGCCCTGAAGAAGCAGTGGCCTGAGGTACACTTGTCACATCTGCATTTTGCAGGCTGGACTGAAAATTCTAGAAATGGGATTGCGTGTCTGTGCAGCCTCTTACCACTTTGTGAATTGGCTGTCCTTCAGACTTAAAATAAAAAATTAATAGGTATATTAATGGACTGTTAACAAAACCCTTTGCCCTAAAGCAGTTCTTATTCAAACTAGTTTGTGGCATGACCCCCTGCTTTATTTTGTTTAGTTACTGAATAGGCCAGGTGGTTTGCAGGGTAGCCCTTTGAAAGTTATCTTCTAATCCACAGCCCATGAGACTATTTAGTTGAAATTTCCTAGTGTGTAGGAGTGTAGCTGCAGTAGTTGAGGGTGTTTTAAAGAGGAAAGTTCTAATTGCCTTTTACACTGTTTCTTCATTTGGGGGGGGAACTTGAATAAATGTGACTGTCTGTCAGCTTGCACATGATCTTGGTGACTGTTAAAATTGGCACACCTTCATGTTTGTTGTGAAACAATCTGCCCAGATAAGTAAGAAGCTGAGTTCACTGAACATTAGATATTTCACTGACTGGCTAAGAAGGCAGTCACAATTTAGTGACTGAGCCATCCATCTGCTATTGAGCTGGAGGCTACCTTAGCAGACTGAAGCTTGAAAACAGACTGAATGAGAACCATAGACTATTTGGAACAAACTTCTGTGAAATATGCTGCCTTGTTTTCTAGCCCACTCTTTCTCAACTTCCTTTCATCTGTGGTTTTCGCCTATTAGAAGTAAGCTCCTTGAGGGTAGGCGCTGTCTTTCTTTCTACTTAGGCACTTAGCACCATGCTGCCAGGCATTTCATTGTAAGCATTTCATAAATGCTTGTTGCCTGACTGAATATTGATTGAGAAGGAAGTAGAGGCTATAAGGGTAAAAATAACATGACCAGGGTCACACCAGTATTTTTGGACAAAGCCAGGAAATCCTATCTCCAAGGTCAGTACCCTTTTCATGATTCTTTGTGTTTTTGTTTTATTTCTGTGCTGTTCATATCTCCTGTTAACCTGAGTCATCCCTTCATACCAACTAGATGGAACAGAGTAGGAGTATAAAATTCAGTTTGATTCAGCAGATATTGATTGGATTCCTATGAAATTTGGGTGTCACTGAGCAAAGGGGGTGGGAAGGCAACAGGTATGAGGTGGCCTGATCAACTCAGATCCCTGAGCCCAAGGGGTGGGAAGCATACAGGTCTAGACTGCTTGTCCTGAAGGAGCTAGTTGACATCTGTACCAGGGGTTCTTAACCTTTTTTGTATCATGGCCCCCTTTGGCAGACTGGTGAGACCCTATATTTTTACATAATTGAGAGAAATGCTCAGTTTCAGTTAGAGATTAGTGAAAATAAAGATGTAACTTTTTTCTCATTTAAATTCACAAATTTGTCAAAAATTTCTGATATAGATATAGAAAACAACCTATGAAATACTCAGAGCTCACAAGACGGAATACAAAAAGTGACAAAAGGTATTCCATAGGCCAAGTACAATAGAGGGGAGAGAGAGAGTGGGGCGGGGGGCTGTGAGTGGTCATTGGTGTGGGCTGAGTAGTAGAGGAGCAGCAGCTGGGTGTCGAAGTGGATGGACTACTGGGCTTGGAATCAGGGAGACTCGTCTTCATGAATTCAAATCTGGTCTCAAGCACATACTAACTGTGTGACCCTGGTCAAGTCACTGTTTGCCTCAGTTTCCTCATCTCAAAAATGAACTGGAGAAGGAAATAGCAAACCACTCTAGTAATCTTTGCCAAGAAACCCCCGAATGAGGTCACGAAGAGTCAGACACGACTTGAACAACAAGAGTATCTGAGGAAGGCTTAGACTAAATACAGGTGGTTAAATCCAGATTGTTCATTTAGTCTCATCCCCTTATTTTATAGTTGAGGAAATGAAGATACAAAGAGTTAAGTGACTTGTCCACTTAGGTAATGAGTGACAGAACTGAGGTTTGAACCCAGGTCCTCTCTCTCCAAGTCCATCACTCTAAAGTAGCAGAAGTAGAACCTTGGTCCCACTTAGCCCCTCTAGGGTTATGCCTGGCCAAGAATTTATGTAATGCCTACTATGTGCCAGGAACCGTGCTAGGTTATGGGAAGGAGGTAGAGCGTTGTGTATGGACAAAAAACAGAATGGTCGCTGCCCTCCAGGAGCTCACAGTCTAGAGCGGAACCGCATTTATTGCACGATATATACAAAGGAAGGGAAACTGGCAGCCATGGAGTTCAGGTGTTACTTGAGCGAAGTTTTTAAAGAGGAGCCAGGGGACATGCAGATCTGTCCATGGTGGCACTGGGATAGGCAATATGGGGGCAGGGACCCCGGGAACAAGTGCTTATGCAGGTGATTCTCAGGGCTTTCCCTGGAGTCCTCTTCAGGCTGACCCATGGGGTTTGCTGGAGTGTCTTACATGCTGCACATTGTCCCTGGAAAGAAAAAAATACTAGAAGTTGTTCGGTCCACACCACACCTTTATAATACAGATGAGGAAATCAGGCCCAGAGAAATGAAGTGGCTTGCTTGGTGTCACTCAGGCACTAAGTAGGAGAGCTGGGATTTGAATCAAGGGCCTCTGGCTCCAGATCCAGCACTCTTTCCACTGTGGCACACTTCATACTATTCCTTTTAGACGAAGACATTTTGAGGAAGTCACCTCCCCCTCCTCGATCCCTTTAATACTGCGTCATTGCCCGAGGGTCAGGCCCATCCTTCCCTCCAAATAGCTCTGCCTTCGTACTGAACTTGATTCCTTCCTGTGCCCAGGCATGTAGTCCTCTTCATTCACAGGCTCTCCTGATAGCCCTCCCCTTCCCATTTCACTGCTACTACCTGACACCAGGTCGTAGTCATTGTTGAGTTGTTTCAGTCTTATCCAGCTCTTCCAGACCCTGTCAGGGGCTTTCTTAGCAAAGATACTGGAGTGGTTTACCATTTCCTTTTCCAGCTCATTTTACAGATGAGGAAACTGAGGCAAACAGGGTTAAGTAATTTGCCCAGGGTCACACTGCTGGTATGTCTGAGGCCAGATTTGAACTCGGGAAGATGAGTCTTCCTGATTACAGGCCAGCACTCTATTCCCTTCATTATCCAGCTGCCCCTGTGGTCTGTTGCCTTGTCTTAGTAGCTGCAGATGTGCAGGAAAAGATGGTAACTCTTTCCTCAGCTACGTTGTAACCAGTCACTTTAAAGTATTGACCATAGAATTTAGTAGGTACTGATCAACCAGTAATCAGCAAGCATTTATTAAACACCTGCCATACCTAAGCACTGTGTTGGGTGCTGAGCATATAAAGACAAAAGCAAAGTAGCCCCTGCCCTCAAGGAGCTTCCATTCTATGGGATAAATGGTAAAAGTTGGTTAATTGTGATTAGGAGTGGTTAAATGACCTGTGATTTTTCCCATAGTAAGAGAAGTTACCAAAAGTGGAATATGCATTTAACTGTTCAAGTTATATGAAGAACAGAAACCTGATACGAAAAGAATTGTCCTAAATATAAAACTAGACTCAAACGGTTAAAAGGTCAGAGGCCCCAACCTTGTAGTTTTGTTCAATTTGGCAAACATTTATTGAGCACCTACTTTGTGTAAGGCACCTGTGAAAAGTACTGGGGGTGACAAAACCAAAAATTCCTACTCTTGAGAAGCTTATGTTGCATGCAGCATGGAAGGTCTTGATGTAATGGAAAGCAAACTGGCTCTGGAGTTAGAAGACCTGGGTTCAAATTCTGCCTCTAATGCTTTCCACCTGTGACACCATGATCATGTCACTTACATTCTCTGGGCTCAAGTTTCCTCATCTGTAAAATGAGTTTGTTTGAGTAGGTGACTTCTCATGTCCCTTCCAGTACTATGCCTAGGTATAATACAAGGCAAAAATGATAAGGGCAAAAGATCTAATGAAGAGCTCTGCAAACAGTTGAGGAGACATTATTGAGAAGGTGGTATCTGAGCTGAGCCTTGAGGAGGATAAGCATTTTGGAGTGCACTCCTGCCCTGGAGGGTGGCTCGTGTGAATGAATGGGGATGGCATTCTGAGATCTAAGAACCCCAAGTACCCCTGCTGGCTTGCAACACAGAGTTTGTGAAAGGGGATCCTGGGAGCTAAGGCTAAAGAAGAAAGCTGACTGCTCATTGTGGAGAGGGGCCTGTGTGCCAGGCAAAGGAGTCTGTAGATATCCTCATGGTAATAGGAAGCTACAGAAGGCTTTAACTGGAGCAATGTGGTCAGACTTGTGTCATAGGAAGATTATTCAGGCAGCTAGTGTGAAAGCTAGATTAGAGAGAGGAGGGCAAGATTGGAAGCAGAGAGACCAATGAGAAGGTTACAGCAGTCCATCGGAAAGGTGATGAGGGACCATATTCAGAGGATGTCTGTGAGAGTGTAGTGAAGGGAACAGGAGATAGAATTCACGAGGACTAGGAAACTATTGGAAAAAGGGAGCGAAGGAGAGGGAAGAGTCATTTGATCTTCTGATTAGGCGTATGGTTACCTGCTTGGCAGAGTCTCAGGTGTGCTATTTAGGGACAGGTGGTTGTGGGTTTGGGGGACTGTGGGAGAGGAGTGTCATGCTCTAATCTTAGATGACTGTACTGTAGCCATCATACTTAGCTCAAGAATCCTACTTTAAACAAATTCTCTTCTTTTTTCTCCTAAGCCATCAATGAATGTGCTGACTTGGAGGGGGTGTGTGTGTGTGTGTGTGTGTGTGTGTGTGTGTGTGTGTGTGTGTGTGTGTGTGTGTGTGTGTGTGTGTGTGTATTTTTTACTGTTTATGGTAACTACCCATATTCTACCTATAGATTAAGTGGAATAGTGGAATTCTTTTTTTAAGGAGCTGGAAGGAGG